TGATGCCATGCGGTTGGCTATACTTAGATGTAGTCACGTAATCGGAGGGGTATACTGGTCTGACAAGATGGGTGCCTTACCTAAAAATAGTTTGCGTCCTTTCTACGTTTAATCGCATGTGTAGGGTTAGGGTTAGGCCTCTTCTTTATTTTGTTCGATGTGATGGTCGCTCGTTAGGGAAGTCCTTCCAAGATATCAAACCTCTAACAAGGGGTGCCCACATACGCGATCGGGTCGGGTCGGGCCCATCGGGTAGATCTAGATTCTAGATCTGGAAGGACTTCCGTAACGAGCGACCACCCCAACAAACACAAAATAGAAGAGACCTAGATCTAACCCTAACCCTAACCCTAACCCTAACCCTAACCCTAACCCTAACCCAAACCCTCACCCTAACCCAAACCCTACCCCTAGATCTACCCCTACCCCTACCCCTCTATTCTACTCTCTCATAGTGGTCGCTCGTTACGGAAGTCCTCCCCTAGATCTAGATCTAGTCAGGACTTGCCAAATTGAGGGCGCAAAACGGCCATCGTGGCACAAACCGATCGTCTGGGTCGGTGACCTACTAAAACAAACGCATTGGCATTTGTTTTGAGGCCTGCGAATCGCCCGCGATCGGGTGGTTTGCAGCCAATCACAACAAGGCCGAGTCACGTGTCCATTTTGACCCATGAATACATAAGTAGGTACTCTGGGAATTCCCAGTTTCGATCTCACGCCTTTGACCGTCTTCTCACTTCTCACAGCGGGTTTGGAGCGCTCATAGGCCTAGAGGAAAAAGGAAACGAATAAGGAGAAGGAGGAGGAGCACTACAGAGGGAGGGTGGTGAGAGTGACAGGGAGGGAGAGAGAATAAGTTGAGACATATATTTACAGAGACCTAGATCTATGTAAACAGATCTAGGTCTCTGTTGTGGGAAGTGAGAAATAGACAAGAAAGGAGAGAGACACTAAAGCAAGCAAGCAAGCACTCACGCACGACACACACACACACACACACACACACACACACACACACACACACACACACATACACAGACAGAGAGAGTAAGTGCAGGAAGTCCAAGAGTATCATAGACCTATTTTACGTATTCATGGGTCAAAGGTTCAGCCAATCGTAGTCCGGTTTGCGCCCTCTGTGTAGTGGCATGTAAGTTAAAGGTTTCTCTACTTTAACGTCCAGGTCGTCTTGTTCAATCGCGGCGGGGTTGTAGTGTGCATTGAAACTACAAGGAAGCAACCCGACCCGACCTGATCGCGTATGTGGGCGCCCCCTATAATAACTGCAAAACATCAAATGATGGTAAAATTCAGGGGGGCGTGCCCCCTTGAACACCCCCACCATATTTTTATTCGTAGTGGTTATCCGTAATTGTGCGAACAACTCTGTCTAGTTATCCGTACAACATCATTCCGTACAATTGTGCAGACAACTCTGTCTTGTTATCCGTACAACATTCTACACACAATTGCTACACAGTTGTATGAATAATTGCTACAGCTATCCGTACAATAATAGTAGGACTACATGCTCACAGGCCTAGATCTACATGTTGTCTCGGTAGATCTAAAAATCTAGATCTAGATTCTAGATCAGTGTTTCCAATAGTGAACTAGGCTTATTTTTACCAAACAACCTCCAAAATTCGAAACCGTGCAGTAAAAACATTTAAGCTTAATCTACCTCATTCTGTTGATAGTTCTGATGGCCGAAATGACAGCGTGTCTGCATTTGAAGAAGTATATGTTATGAGTGTGGGTTCAAATCCCGGTTCCGCAATTTAGATAGTTTTTTTTTGGGGGGGGGGGGGGGGTTCCTTCTCTCGCCTCCCCCGACTGACCAACAATTGTTTTCCCATAACTGTTTGTTTTGACTTCAAAGATTTCCACTCATGATTTTGTGTAAAAACAAAGAAACACAATAGATCCTAGTCATAATAATAGATCTACTTTATATATATATATAGGCCTACACAGTCAAACCTGTGTAAGACGGCCACCCATTGTCAAGGAGAAAAGTGGCCGTATAAGACAGGTGGCCGTCTTAGGCAGGACTGATCCAAGATAAAGAAAACAAACCATTCCCATCTGAGGTCCCAATCGAAAGTAGCTCCATTGTTGTTGTCTTTTTGTGATGTTGTTGTTGTTGGTTTGTATTTCGTTTGTTATTTTAATTTTGTTGCTGATTTTGCACAATGGTGACAATAAAACCAAATGTATCAGATACGGAAGACCGAGTGCCATGTTAAAACAAACACCTGGGTCGCCACCACTCAGAGAAGGAGGGACGCTTCTGTAACAAGTTCATGTTGACGTCCTTTGTTACTTTGTTACAGACTGGGTAAACAGTGACCACTCATCTCACTTACAATTTGTGTATGAGTTCTGGGCGGGGCTTATGGGTTATGAGGGATCACATGCTTACCTCACCAGCAGCTGAAAATTGGTAGCTATTGGTCAACAGTGGGAGGGGCCTACTCAACATGATCAGTTGGAGGGACTACCTAACAACAACGACAGGTGATTGAATTATGACGGCTCGCCCACAACGCCAGGGGCCAATGCACAATTCATGACAAAACGTAATGGAGTCACTAAGGTGACCGTCTAAGACAGGTATTATTGCTTAGTATGATAGTGGTTGTGTGTTAAATTATGGTGGCCGCGGCCGCGTTGGACAGGTGCCCGTTTTACACAGTTAAATTATATAGAAAAAACGCAAGGGGGTAAATGGAAAGTGGCCGTTTGTACAGGTGGCCGTCTTATAGAGGTGGCCGTCAGGGCAGGTTCGACTGTATTTTAATAGAAGTATAGATCTAGCCTACTTTTCCTTTTAGGCCTACCAATTTTGGCCTTGTTAAAGTTATAAATATTGATGCTCAACCCAGAGGAGAACCAACTGGATGACTAGATCTAGTGATCTAGGTTTATTTTTTCCAACGATCTCCAAAATTGGAATAATTGTTCGAATAACTCGGTCTAGTTATTGGTACAATTGTACTAATAACTGGTTAAGAGTTTACGCACTATTGTACCAATAACCGCAGCCATTTTTATTAGCCCCCCTGAAACCCCCCTACTATTGGGCTTGGGGTCAAAACCCACAAATAACAATTGTGGGGTGGGAACTACCGAAAAAGCGCCGGCTAAGCTAAGTAAGGCGCTGAAAAGTACATCTAAGGACTTCTTGGCGCTTGCGGCTAGGAAGTGGCGCATTCTGAGTTCTCACATCGGGTGAGAATAAAGATACGATCGACCTCTCACCCCGGGTGAGACTTGCCAACGTTGGCTATTCTCACCCCGTTTTTCCTACTTTCTGAATACTGTCTATGGGCGATAACATAGAGAACGCCGAAACTTAAGCGGCTGAAGATCACTCGAACAGGCGCCAGTAGGTGTCTGCTTGACTCCACATACAGGGTACCTGAAGCCTAGATCTAGGTATAAGAAAAATATTACACCACAACACAGCTGGTATTTGTGAAGCATTTATTTGGGGATTTAAAAAAACCTCGAAATTCCTAAAATATTACTTAAAATGTAATTCCCCTCGGTGACCACACTAATTTGACGACGCTGATTTAAAAAATGTAATTATGTTTTTGTCTACCGTGAAGCCCCAGCTCTGAAATGGCCATTTAAAATTGTGCCCTGTCCAGTCGGGTGACGTCACGCAAACCGCTCAACCCGAGTTGGCGACGGTGAGACGGCATTGAGAGTTCGCGACCTCAGTGCTTTCTTGTCGCATCTACATTTTCACTGTTAAAAAATGGAGATACGACAAGAAAGCACTGAGGTCATGAGTTGACAGCAAGACGCCCTTCCCATTTTTTCGGTGTAATAAGAATGTAGTTTGGATTCCGATAAAGCCGACAATGCCGATCCGAGCTTAAAGCAGCCTACAGTCTGCCAGCTCTAAGTGGGGCAAGTTGGAAATCATAAGGGAATTTTTATACCTATCGGCGCTTACTGAGTCGGTCTCCGAACTCAGCGTTCTCTATGTTTTCGCCCTATCGCAGTATCGGTGTGGATTATTAAATTGGTAAAAAAACAAAGATTCTTAGCTCAAAAGTAAACTAATTTGGTCGTGAACAAAGATGCTACGGCTATTTCACTTTTCGAATCGAGCCGAACTATGCCAGTTGCCATTTTGTTTTGCCTGGAAGTTCTCACTACTCCTCCCTCCCCCCCCTCTCTCTCTCTCTCTCTCTCTCTCTCTCCCTCCCTCCCTCCCTCCCTCCCTCCCTCCCCCCACTCTCTCACTGCTCGCAGACAAAATTTCACGCTTTCAACACAAGAGTGCTGGAACGTTGGCTGCTTGATAATCTCTCCTCCAAGCCACCTCAGCCGGTTGCCCAAGTATCTGGCATAGCCAGATATCAGCTGATGATCTCAAGCCTGGTTGGCACGCGTGAGGCTTTTATTTTGTGAGGACTCGAGCTCAAATTGACATGCAGATTTGAGGTGGCATGAGGACTGATGGTTATCGGGTAAAATAAAACTATCAACAGAGACCCTGACATACAGCCTCGCTTCTAATCTGTTAAAAACCTTCAATTTGAACATTTACATAATATTCAGCTTGGTTTGAATTTGCTCACACATGTATGCACACGTACGCCCGCTCACACACACACACACACACACATACAGAGAAAGATATTAGAAAAGACTATCAACTCTAAATTCATGTACATATACACATAAATAATCACCATAAAGACACTTTTCAAACACTGTGCCGCAGCAGAATCATTTCCCTTGATGCTGGGCAGTCAGGGATACTGAACAGAGGAACCCTGTTAAAGTTAATGAAGGAGATCTACAATTGTGTTTTTCTTAGAATTACATAAGGTGGGAGCCCGCAATTGCTTGTAGATTATGGTCCCTTCATTTGTTGTAGTGTAAAATTATATCTTGCCTATTGAATTTATGAATATGAGTTGTTTTACTTTCTGAGTTTTTTTCAGTTTATGTTTGTTTTTCTTTGTCTTCAGATATTCAATTCCTGATGCACCGTACTCATTGCCGTCATCCTTTGGATCACAAGAACTGAATGGCATAGTACACAGTGTTTTGTACGAAGGTTTGTATCCATTACTGAAAAGTTTATTATTTGCAGCCTTTAGTGTGTGGATTTTGATCCTTAACATTCCCAATTTGTGATACAACGGAAATGTCTTGATTGAAAAGCTTATAATATATATATATATATATATATATATATATATAATATATATTATATAATTATATTATATTTACATATTTACTGTCATTTGCGTTTTACTCTGAGAAAGTTTAATTGAGTCGCTCATTTGATATTTATTGTTTAGTTAGGGATGATCTAGCTTTAGTCGGATCATTGTTGGGTCCTGCTAGGTTTCATATCCTTTTCATTTGAGATAGTCAACTAGATGCACTAGAATAGTCCATTACAATGAACTTACTATCAGCAGTGTGAAGTTATGAACAGTTATAAAGATTTCTGACTTTTTAAAAAAGGTGTATTTCAATGAATTTTTCAAGTTGGATGCTAAATACTCTGTTTCAGCTTTAAAAAAGCCATGCACATAAAAATAACTTTTTCTGCTTTGCATGTCATCTGAATGTTCAGAGCAACATTTCTTAAATTTCTCTCCCTGCCCATTTACTTTTTTTTCTTACCCTCTTGTCCTCAAATTCAAATGCTTACTGACTAATCATATTTAAAAGAACAAGTGAAAATGTAATGATTAATGGTGTATTTATTTGTTTGTGATTTCAGGAGCAACGAAAGATGCTGTTGATTTTGATTTTTTGATTGATGGTGAATTCTTGAGGACCAGTCTTGAGACTCATTTGGAGGATAAGAATATTTCTGCTGTAAGATTTTTGGGGATTTATAAGCCTTAATTTCTATGTTATTCTTCTTTTTTTTAACTTTCATTTTGCCATCTTGATTGTTTTGTACAAAGGAGAATGTGTGTTTTAAAACCCTTCAAGGTGTGCCTATTGAAAATTTTGTTTAACTTGCTCCTAAAGACCATTATTGTTTGGTACCATATTATTAGGGTAAGTATTTTATATCGTTCCTTATGTCCATCAAGCTGCGAATGAACACATTGCATATGATAAGTATGGGAGCAGTGTTTTTTACAGGGAATTGGGTCAGTGGAATTAATTTTATGTGGTCTTCTATTGCTATAGCAAAACTTCAAATAATGGCAATGAAGGAGATCTACAATTGTGTTTTTCTTAAAATTACATAAGGTGGGAGCCAGTCCTAGGTGCTAGTCTCTGCATCTGTTGTTTCCGTGTTGTTTGTTTTTTTGTGCTGGTTACAGCTTTCCTTTGCCGCCCCACCCCACCCCCGTTTCTTTTTTTAAATAGCTGTAACAATGCTTTTTCTCAAATTCAATCTGTTTTCTTTCAGGAAAATGTCATTGAGGTTGAGTATGTGGAGCGCGCTGCTGCCCCAAGACCTGAAACATCTTTGGCACACGATGACTGGGTTAGCTGTGTCAGAGGCAGTAATGACCTGTGAGTTTAGATGTACTATGAACCGATGTCATTTCTCCTATAATATCGGCAAACTTGTCACTGGTGTACGCACGAAGTGACTATTAATGCTCTAATATTTTCACTCAGAATTTGGCTGGGTATGCAGACCTCCCTCAAAGCAGGTGGTAGGTTTTTTGTTTTGTTGTTTGCTTTGGGGGGGGGGGGGGGGGGGGTTTCAGCTAGTATGGCATAACCCTCCTGCCAAGTTTAGGATTGGCATCAAAGTGATTTGAGTAATTAACTATGTATGCTTTCAGTTCATTGGGATCATTTGGAAATAAGTTTCTGTAACTATTTTAGGGACAGTAGTTTAGTCTAGGCAATACATTTGTTTACATGTACTGTACAAAAGCGTCACATTGAAAACATTTTTTTTACAATATTTTGCTCATTAGTACTTGTGTCTTAATGCAGTGGAATCAGGCATTTATCCATTTTTGGGCATGTGGAGTTTTCGGTATCATCTTATGGCTTGTTCATTTGTCTATCTGTCAATAAATAAAAAGTACCCATCGGGATATATTCAGTTGAAGGAGGTGGGGGTCACCTGGGGTTTTTTTTTAGGTAAAGTTAGAGTGAAAATGGCTGCCAAAGTTTGGAGACTTACATAGCTTGAGAGTCCTTGGAAACTGAAAATATACAATTTTTGTGCTTTTAATCAACGTTTTTCAGTAAAAACTACTCAGAAATTTGTTTTTTAAGGGACATAAAAAATACTGAGCCAAAAAGCAAGAAGTTGATAAAAATTGCCAAACCTGCAGAAAAATTTGGTATCTTCATATTATTTTTTTTATAAGCAATTGATTTTACCACAGTGCCTTAACATTTTGTTTCAGTATTCTATGTGGCTGCTATGACAACACTCTACGTTTGTGGACACGTGATGAAAAGTGCCTCACTACAATCCCAGGACACACTGGCCCAGTCAAATGTCTTGCATGGCTGAAGCATGAAGGTAAGTGAGGCGGACGCACCATTCTAAAAAATGTTTAACTATTGAGGTTTTAGATTGTTCTTTTCTTCTAAGCACGTTGTTTTGGAAATGAAATAGACTACTTCTTTAAGCATCTTGTTAGCATACGAAGGAAGAAACCATCCTACTCTACATTTCATCTATAAAATCATAAGTTTTTTAAATAAAAGAAAAAACGACCTTTTTTGTTTAATCCCCATAGGGAAATTTGGTTTACAATGTCATACATACAAATGCACAGAGATTATTCCTCTTTCAAAATAAGATAAAATGTTAAGAAACAAAGAAACTTCCTACATAAATGAAAAGAAAACTGGTCTGTCAGTTATTTTGTAAACATTTTTCATACATCTCCACAGAATCTGATGAATCTCCATGTATGTTTGTGAGTGGTTCACATGATCAAACATTATTTGTTTGGAGGTATCAGCGATCAAGCAACAACATTGACTGTGTCTTCGCTTGCAAGGGACATGCTGGCAGTGTAGACTGTGTTGCTGTCAACCAGGATGGGGAGAGGGTCAGTAGGAACTGTACATTGTCTTCTTGAGAATTATTTTTTCCGTCCTCCTTGTTAGAGCTTGTCTCCTTATGCGCGACACGCAATTTAGTCGCGTAAGTAAGATTATAAAGAACCATCTCCTTACATGCGGCATGCTGTTTAGTCACGCGCGACTGAGTAGCGATCAAGGGTCTCATCGCGAGCAACAGGCTGGGGGTGTGGCAGGTTTAGAGCATCGCCATTGGTCAAATATCTAGCCAAGGAGTGCCTATCGACACTCTGTGTGTTTGTTGCTGAAGGCAAGGCTCGAGGCTATGTGCAAAAAATAACTTGCTACTGTCTCTCTGTTGTGAACTGCCAGTCACGCTTGGGTTTTACCCATCGCGCGCAACTTAACGCCGCGTCACGCGTAAGGAGACGCTTTTGTGGCTTCTGTCGCGTTGCGCATACGATACATAGTCTTAGAGCTTGTCTCCTTATGCGCAACGGGACGTAACATGGGGTCTGGTCCTTGCCACTCTAAAATCGACCAAGTAAGATTATAAAGAAACCGTCTCCTTACATACGACTGAAAATTTGGGGGCGACGTTTTCGCACATACGGATATACATCTCGCGACTGAACATATGGGACTAAACGTCACGTCGCGTATAAGGATACATAGGCTTACACTGTCAGTTCTCAAAAGTAACATTCTTGAGCAAGTTGCTTTTTATATCATCAGCAAGTTGTTCAAGTGTCCAAACCTAAGGAAACAAAATTTTTCAGAAAAGAAAAATATTGTTTCATTCTTTTAACAATTGTACCTATACAGTCCGTGCCGGCTATAAGCACGTTTCGGACTCAAGCACGCTTCGGACTCAAGCACGCTAAACGGCTCTTACCGAATTTTTGCTATATAAATTACACGCCTATAAGCACGGTAACTTCGGCTTCAAGCACGCTTCATTTACAAGGCAGTCAATATTTTCATGATGACCCATCGAAGTTCGAACACAGTCTACACCGCAGCAGTGGAGTGTGTCAAGAGAAACACAAAGAACGCAAGTGATGGATACACACAGCCGTTCGCGCGGACATAGGATCTAGCCTAGGCCTAGCTCAAAGCTACACACGATCCCCCCCAAAAAAGAGAGTCGGGGAGATGAGAAAGGGAGGCTGGCTGCAATTTCACCTTTGACCCTCGCTACCCATTAATCCTGATTGTGTATCACGCGCGAGGTGGGATGAAGGCAGTGGTATGAGTGGCACAGTGGGCAGTGGTACGCACAGGCAGTGTGTTACAGTAGGCCTAGTGTGCTGTATCGTGACTGGCCGTCTAAATTAAGTTTTCATTTCCCATTCGACCACAAAACAAAAACAAACAAGCGAACAAAAACTACCATGGCGGGTGTCTAAATAACACTGCACACTTTTGCGGGACCGCTATACGCCTACTTACAAACAAAGGGAAATAGCACTGGGAATTTTCTACATGAAAATCTCTAGATTATGTCTACTTCGCACTTCAGCACGCTTCGGCTTTAAGCACGCTTAAGCTTTCTCCCGATGACTGTGCTTAAAGCCGGCATGGACTATTATTTCTTTTGCAAACGTTACCACAGATTAAGAAACTGCAATAAAAAATATTTTAAAATTCAAAATTTTGGGCTAAGTAGGTCTGAACATCTGGTTGACGATGTGATTACCTGTTCTTGTGCATGTAAGTGTTAAGTTTTATTGTGTTTGCCATTTCTGCCAATGCATTGTTATAAGTTGGTTAATATTTGTGGCTATTGTACCTGTATCTTATTGAAGGATTCTGAGACCTTCAGTGTTGTAATGTGGTTTTTTTCTTTGATATACTTTCCGTACAGCATCCGAGTGTAAAAGCTACCCTTTCAATTCACTTCCACCTTGTAGTTAACATAATCTATTCCTTTTTTTTTTTCTTTCCAGATTGTTACTGGCTCTTGGGATAAAATGATCAAGCTGTGGTCAACTGGTGAGAAAAATTGCACATTTATATTTGCTTTCCTGTTAATTTTCTGTAATTCTATTGTGCCTTCATAATTGTTATGTAAACTTCATTGTTGAAATACAGTCAAACCTGCCCTGACAGCCACCTGTACAAACGACCACTTTCCATTTCCCCCCTTGTGTTTTTTCTATATATTTTAACTGTAAAACGGGCACCTGTCCGCCACGGCCACCACATTTTAACACACAACCCCATTCACACAAAGCAATAACACCTTTCTTAGACGGCTACCTTACTTACTCCATTACATTTGTCATAAGTTGTGCTTTGGCCCCTGGCGTTGTGGGCGTGCCGTCATATTCAGTCACCTGTCGTTGTTGTTAGGCAGTCCCTCCAACCGATCATGTTGCGTAGGCCCCTCCCACTATTGACAAATGACTGCCAATTTTCAGCTGTTGGTGAGGTAAATGTGTGATCCCTTATAAACCATAGCTCACTCACTGCCAAACCCGAAACTCGTCGGGTGCGTTTTCACTACTACTTTTCAAACATTCCCTGACGTGTTTCGGGCTTGGCAGTCGGAAGTAGGTGACATAAGCCAGTTTAGTTTCGATTCCACATTGTTGCAGTAAGTTCCCTTGAATAAGCTACTTTTAAAAATCGGACTTTTTGGAACTCACCCGAAACGAACTAAAAACTACTAACGCTCAGTTACGAAGGTGACGGCATCTCAACGAGCTCGGAACATTTGAATTGATGGACCCATTCGTCAATAAAGGATCAGATTTAGATCTTTTTACTCATGATAGTGATGATGAACCATCATACAGAATTGATAATGAGTATAGGAAAGGAAATAGGAGAGGTGCGGACTCAAGAGAAGATGAAAATTGTGCTAGATCTAGGCCTAGGTCTAGAATCGGGTGTTCCCCATGCTCAGACCTATGATCCGATGCTTCCCGGTCCCAGTTCAGGCTCGTCACACAAACGTCGAAGATCACACAACGTAGATTTAGACCCCAAATGATAGGAATACAGCTGACATAGACCCTCCTAGGTCTACACAACAAACTTCAAATAGTGGCACCCCTCCCCCAGTAGCTATGCCCCGTCTTGCAACCGCACACCCTGATATTGGTGCTCAGGATGGGTGGACTGATGGCTTAAATGATATTCCAGTTATATAAAATTTGTCAGATATCTTTTCAAAGTGGCTCTTCCACTTTTGTCAGTGATACATCTATTTCTTGCAGAGACGAAGATAAAAAGGCATACATATCGACTGAATGTACCAAGCAGGTAAATGTTATGTAAAAGGGTTTTTTCTCGATTTTGCCTCATATTCACAAACTCATATATAAAATGTCACACGCTAAAGGTATCACAAAAATTTTTTGGGATTTGTTGAATATGTTTCAATGTCATTGTTTGTGGAAAAGTTCAATGCTGTACACAAAATAATAAGCTCACAGTGAGGTTTTGAAAATGGTCCCGAAAGCCTGGCATTCCTCAGTTATCCTGCCGAGAAATGCCTGGCAGTGAGTGAGATAAGCCCCGCCCAGAACTCACACACAAATCGTAAGTGAGATGAGTGGTCACTGTTTACCCAGTCTGTAATAAAGTAACAATGGATGTCAACATGAACTTGTGACAGAAGCGTCGTTCGTTCTCCGAGTGGTGGCGACCCATGTGTTTGTTTTAACATGGCACTCGATCTTCCTCGTCTGATACATTTCTTTTTATTGTCACCCTTGTGCAAAATACAAATTACAAACAAAATACACACCAACAACAACAACAACAATGCGGCTACTTTCAATTGGGACCTCAGATGGGAATGGTTTGTTTTCTTCATCTTGATCAGTCCTGCCTACGACGGCCACCTGTCTTATACGGCCACTTTTCTCCTTGACAATGTGTGGCCGTCTTACACAGGTTTGACTGTATTTGAAATGAAAAAGTAATGCTAATGGGGGTGGTTCAAGGCGCTTTATTCACTTGGTTGGTTCTGTAGGAGATAAAATTTGTAGATTGAGCCTCTTAAATAATCTAGGGGGCTCTCGTGGTCTAGAGCTTAAGGTGTTCACCTCTCATTCAAACCGAGTTCGTGTCCAGATAGCGACGGAAAAATTTCCTTCTCTAAAATTGTCTCCTTTCACCTCCTTTCATGCTCTCTAGCAATATTCTGTCGTCTGCTTTCGTCTCCACTTTCTGCCCCCACCTCCTCATCTCCTTTGCCTCCTCCTCTGGGCTCCTGACTCTTTCTGCCGCCTGTCCACTGCTTCTTGGCTCCTTCTTACTGCTGTCTTTCAGCCACACCCCTGATCTTATGGTAGGAAAGATCTATACCTAGCCTTCTCGGACAACAGCGAAAAATCTCGGAGGTGACGTGTGGAAATTGCGCCCGTTAAAGATCCCTTGGTGGTCCAAAATCGATAAGAAAAGGCTTCGGCCGCCACTCGGGCAAAACTCAAAATTTCCCACAAACTGAAAATGTTAGGTGTGTCCCGCGCGCTCATGTGACCTTATACAGTTGCGAGTGCTATAAAACACTTCCAACAAAAAAAAGAAATTAACCTTCCAATGTTCTAGAAGCATTCAGCTCATTCTCTTCTCTATGTAATGCAAATGATATTTAAGTCTAAGAATTTATATTTATGTATGTATTATTTGCAACAGTTGAGTCTGAGGTTGGCAACCAAGATCCAGAAGATGAAGAAGAGAGCAGAATCAAGAAAAAGCTGAAGAGCTCTGGACAAAAGGTGTCGTTGAGAGTTCCTCTGGTCACCTTAGCCGGACACAAGGAAGCTGTGTCTTCTGCCACATGGATCAGTTCATCAAGCATTTGCACTTCATCGTGGGATCACACTCTGCGAGTCTGGGACATGACCACCTCCCAGCCAACAGCGGTTTGTGTAAGTTGATTTTCATTTAAATTAAAAACTATGGGGGTTGGTTTTATTAGCAGTCAGCCTGATATGGTTCCTTTACTTTCCATAATCTGCTCTTTATGCGCCCATCCCCGAAAAGAAATACGCAAATACATCATGTTAGAAAACGCAACAAGACTCTGCTTAGGAGTAGGTATCAGAAACTAAATTTTAAAAGTTGCCAAATGCCAAATTTATCTGTTATAAAGGCCCATATCTCCTGAGAATTTCAGAACCATTCTTTAACATCTCAGTCAATTTTAAAGAAAATGGTAGCTGTTTTAAATCTGATCAAATTTGTTAAAATCGCTCACTTGCTGCAACCCCGTGTTTGACAGATAATAAAAGAGTACCAAGTGCACCAAACATCTCCACATTAACAGTACAATCACTATAACATAGATATGGAGCCTATTTTTTTTTTCAAGACTGTAAGATCATTACAAATCAGTATTTTATCGCCTCAAACATGATGATCTGTCGTTATTGCGACAAAAACATGGAGCGCTGTCCCGGCCGGCGCCTCAACGTCCCCCGCGGCGAGCGAATCGGCTCTATAATATAGTGTATGGAGTTCTCCCCGCTTGGGGGGTCACATGCTTTCCGAGTTTCGCGGAAGGATTGATGAAAAATAATTCCAAGCCGATTACTTTAATCTAATAGAAAATGGACTGATCTTTTTCTATCGGTACCTTTTTTGAGGGGGTATTTTGCATATTTCGTGTAAAAAAATTATCTTTGAAAACTTTGACAGTATTTTGGAAAATATACCACGGGGAAAGCCCATTCAAAGCTTTACAGTTCTCCGCCAATGAAAAGACAGTATTTAATCATCAATCTTTCTGCGAAGCATTTGGATGCATGCGTGTCAATTTTGAACCGGCCGACTACGCATTCCGACCGCGAGGGGCTTCATTTTCCACATCGATTCTCCGGCTCCTAATAATCGGACATATAAACAACTTACACACTTGAAACGAGGAAAAGCTGAACTTTTGCTAGGTATACAGCATTTGGTGTTTTATTGCGAAAGAGCAAAGAAACAGCGAACTGAATTACCCCGATTTCACCGATACCACACGCTCGGAAGGTTCCCCCGAGGTCGTGTTTACGCTGCCTATTAAGAGTTATTTAAGGCCGCTTTTTTATAGTTGGCAAAAGCTGTTCTTTTTATAGTAGAACATGAGTATAGCGGCACCAGATACAACGGGACCTTACTGGAAACCCCCTTTTTTTGGTCTATAAAAACTCAAATAACTTCTGTTTTAACAGGGCAAAGAAAGGCCTGAACTTGGATACAGCGGGAGAGATGGAGTGAGCTCTAGATGGGGGAAGGGGGTTGGGGGGTGGCGGTCTGTAGGTGGGCTCCAAACAGGCAATCAGCGGTGAGTGAGGTGGGGGCGGGCGGCAGAGAGAGAGATTGTGCGGAGAGACGCATTACGTGAGCCACACCAAAAGTGATGTGCCATAGCAGCTAAAAAAGGGGAGAGGGTGTAGTGGGTGACTTTTTGGTAATTCCCCGCAATACAGCGGTATTGTTCTTCTGGAACGAAAAGTCCTGCACACACACATACACACACACACATTACTCTATCGTTTTGTTGCGAAAATGTATAAGACCAAAAATAAGTATTTGAAATGTTAAATGATTTGCAGCATTTGCTAGTGTGTTGATTATTTCTTTTGTGTACATCTGAATGAGTTATTCTGTTTATTTCAGGAAGGTTCCAAGGCATTTTTCTCAATTGCTCAGTCACCGTTATCGAATCTGATTGTTTCTGCATCAGCTGACCGACATGTTCGACTCCATGATCTGCGAACTAAAGGTAAACATCTAATAAATGGTTGTGTTTTTAAGAGCTAGAAAGTCTGCTGCTGGTTTTGTTTTGTGTCTTGGGTTTTAGTTATGATTTGAAAGCTGTTGTCTGTATTTGCTTACTGTCAGTTCAGTTTTTTATATGTAAGTCTTCAGACTTATGCAAGGTATTATCAAAACTGTCAGGATCATAAACGGAAAAAGATTAACCTGAATGTTTTGTTTTGGTTGGGTTCTTTTTTTTTTTTTTTTACATTAACCTGAATGTCTGTTCTGTACTGTTGTCTGCATTCTGAACAGGTCCATAGCTGCCCCAGAAACATGCTACAGCTGCATAGTGTTAGAAGCTGGTCTCTAGACATTCTGACTTAATTATGTAATGATTATGACGCTCTTTACTTTTTGTGTTCCTATCTGTGTTTTCTGTGACTTAATCGTTTAATAGAGCAGTCTTGCATAGAGTCTATCGATTTGCAGCATTGCGCAGCGTTTCAATCGCTGAACACACGACACAATCGTGATATGTATTTCTATGGGGTTTAGGAAGAATCTCCGATTGGATTTGACTGAGAACGAAGTGATACATCGAAAGTAGAGTTGTTCTTTTGCTGTTGAGTTTTTGAATGGTCAAAATTGGCCCCGAAAAAGTGCATGTCATGTGTGAATTTTTTAAGTAAAAAAATTTAGGGTGTCCTGCAGTTGGAAGTTGGACAAATCCAAGGAAATTTTGAAAACACATAAAAATTCAGCCCATGAAGCAATCTCCACCAAGCAAAGACGTGCTGAAAGTCGATTTTTCAGTCTACGGCAGTGTTGTATTTTTAAGTCACTAGAGGAGTTTGGTTATTTTTTAATTTTGACGAAATAATCAGGCAAAGAATGACAACCCGACAGTCACAACTACAGACTTCAACTTAAGGACCACCGTAACAGACAGCCCTAAATTTTTTAAAAGAAGAAAGAAAGACAGCATGGAATGTTTCAAAATTTATTGCTCTGAAAGTGTTAATGGGTTACTAATGCGTACTGCAAATCTTCCTTAAGGGGCAAAACCACCTCGGGGGAATTCAGCCAAATTTGCTGTTTTTTTATCAACTTGTGTGCGATCCCATGGACATTCCTCAGTTAAAATTTCTGATGCACATCATAAACGGATGCATGATCTCGAACTGTGCTCACTTTGGTGGCAGTATAAGCTGCTGTTTGCGCAAAATCCAGTATCGCACCAACATGCCACCAAGACGAAAGCTGAGAGACTTTGATTGTGCCAGAGCTATGGCATGGCTGCAGGATGGAGAATTTGCCAGAAGGCTTTCAGTGTCACACTGTCATTGTCCACTTCAGGCAGCGCCATCAAACCACTGGATCAGTCCAAGAACGTCCACATGCAGGTCGACCCAAGAAGACCATTCAGAGTGTTTGCAAGTGGTCCTTCACTTATGTTGAAGTCTGTATAACGGGAGAAATGAATAACTTGCCCATACTGAATTTCAGTGGAAACTGGCTCGTTGGGAGCAGTATTCTTTTCCGGACATAGCTGCATTTTTTTTCAGATAACTTTATGTAAAGAATTTTCTTAAAAGATGTTAAGGTGTTTTTAGAGGATTGTCTCCCTTCTCCAGGATTTCAGGGTACACATCAGGACAAATATCCAGGCGCTAAATGATTAAAATACCATTGTGCTCTTGAAAATTCAAAACTTAGTCTACATAACAGATTTAATCAGAAAAATTTTATTTTAGATATATGTGAATAAAGTAGGATTTTCCCATGAAGGAGGATACCACAGGAGAGTGGAAGATAGGTTCGTCTGATGTACTAAACATAGTAAGTGTAACTAATTTTAATATCAATGTCTTGTAATTATTTATATATTCTTTCATCTCTTCGTTGGGGGGGGGGGGGGATGAAATATATAGATCTAGAATAATTATGATTTACATTTTTACAAAAGATATGTAATTTCGTTTTCATTTTACTTTTTTCACAGAAATGAAAGGGACATACACTTCACACACTGCCTGGGTTTCAAGTGTGGACTGGTCAAAGAACAATGAACATCTTTTTATCTCAGGTTCTCATGACATGGTTACGAAGCTCTGGGATGTCAGAAGGTGATTCTTTTTCCTGGTTATCATTCCATTCCATTTGCTGATGTGTGAAAACACATTTGTTATATAATGCTTATATAAATTTGTGCTTTGATGCCCGGGGGGGGGGGCGGGGGGGTCATGCCTACTTTATGGTTTCTTTCTCTAGTGTAACATAGATCATCATCCTGCAAAGCATGGGTTTGGTCAAATGCTGCCTGATGAATGTCATTCGCTATAGAAGGCACCAATTTTGGAAACAAAAATTCACATTATATTTTGGTTGCCTTTTTGATGTAATAGTAGAAGCAGAGGTAGCCTGAGAGGGAATTTTATTACTTATCTTGGTTAAATTGTAAATGTACTGTAAAAATGTGGCTCGACATGAGTTGTTTTTGGTTGTTGGGGGCGGGGTGGTGGTAAAGGAAGGTCCGGCATGAAGAAGAAAAGGGAAATAAAATATGAGTCAGACCGTGTTCATTGAAAAAAAGTTTGTTGCATAGTTTACAGCAACTGAGTATATCATTCCAAATATAAATAAATGAAAGGAGTGCATCCTTTATTACATTACAATGATGCGTGGAGAGTCTCGACACATCACATAGAATCCAGATCCAACAAGTCACATAGATCCTAGAATTAGGCTAGGTAGGCCCTAACTGTATAACAGAAATTCACTTTGGTTCTTGCATCTGTTTTCCTGAATATCAAGGTTTATAATTAACCCTCATCCTGGGGGAGCCGGGTTTATGTCGCCCAATAAGCCTATTTCGGCACCTCGCCTTCGTTCTCGTCCCGAATCAGTGTAGCCCCTGGCTTAGCACACGCGCACCGCGCATCATCTTACGTGAAATTCGGGTCCCGAGTCGGATCCCCATTCACGCAGGTCAGGTGTGTGTGCGTCAGTCTGCTTGAGTTTGTTTGCATTTGTGGCCTTCTTCTAGAACTGCCTGCGTTGGTTCGTAATGGAGGCATACGTCTCGTTCCAAACACGCCAAGTTGGTAGCTCTAGATGTTCGTCCAATGAAATTATAGAAGAAATTGACCCACTTAGACATGAAGGGCCCGAAAGGATAGTCAGGAAACAAGACTTCCATTTTTCTATACAAAATCTTTCAAATGAGCTTGATTTTGTATGAAATGATACTATCTGATAAAAAAGAAGCTTGTTTGATAGTTTTTAATACCATTATCATTATGCAGGTACAAAGAACAATTTGAGTGCAAAACATTCGGAAATTGACCTATATTATCCCCTTCCAAACCTCAGGTCATTCATAACAACAAGAGCGTCTAGAAAGGTTATTCGAATGGGCGTAACTACTCGTAATGTCTTATCCACTTGTGAGAGGGGGTTATTCATGTGTTTGTAACACTTTATAAATAGAAAGCTATGAAAGATAGAGAGTTATTTTCATCATCGATTAACACACTTCAACAGTATTCACGGCGAAAACACACATTTCTCGGCGCACGCGCTGTACCCCAACAGTACACACTGAGTGACCCCGGCGGCCTGCCCGGCACGTCCGACATAATCTGTTGCTGATAAAATACGCATCTGGGCACAGACGCAGGATAAGAGTTAATACAATGTGTACTGTTGTTGAGCAGAGATTAAAAATCTGAACTGAGAAAGATGTAATAATAGATTCTAAGCTTACTGGATGCCAAATCTGGCGAAATGAGTTGAATAAAATTTCAACTCATTACAAAGATCCTAAGAGTCAGAGAGATCTTGAATTTTGTTGATCTGTTTACAGAAATTCGCTCGTGGTCTTAATTCTTTTTTTTTTTCCTTAGAATATCAGAGTCTATAATGATTTATATATATATATATATATTATCAGGTTACTGTGATCGTGCACAGACATAAAACTGAAGGAGGGGGTGTTGATCTGGCAAAGCGAAGCAAACTCCTCAGTTCTTGATATCAATTACCTTTGGAAAGAGCCTCCTAGTCAAAATAGGTTTTGGGAGGTTGTAGCCCACATAGGTAGCACTGCCATCAAATTATTAATAAAATTGGAACTTTCTTCCTCAGCTCTAAGGCCCCTTTGTACAACCTGGTTGGCCAAGAAGATAAAGTCTTGGCTGTAGACTGGTCCATCCCTGATCTACTTCTCTCTGGAGGTGCAGATAATCAGTTGAAGATTTTCAACTACAAGCAAACCGTGAATTGATTATATGTCAGTAAATAAAAATTGTTCAAGTAAAAACTTTTGTGAGTGAGTTTACTTTTCGGTGTTGTTGGTTTTTTTTTAGTCAAGCCATCCTCTGGTATTTTTATGAATACTCTGCTGTCTGTCCTCTTTGAAAAATATTTGACAACATGTCCGCTTTTGTTTTTGTGCCTAAATTTGGACTCGTTAAACTTAAACAAACGTCAGTTTGGTTTCAAATGAAAGACATGTATTCTTTTCAAAGGTGTCATCGCAGATATGTAGGACTAGCCTAGACTATATGGATGATAATACTGAGATAAAAAGTAATGTCTTGTCTTTATCTTGCCATTAGACACATAGGTGAGAGAGCAAGTTTGCGCTGCCCTTTCTCACTTTAAACAAACCTTGCACCAAAAACATCAGCATTTATCTATCCCTTCCCCCTTTTCTTTGTCGTCTATCCCCTTCGAATTCCTTCAGCAATGGTTGAGTGTGGTGGCAACAGGCTAGTTCTCTTTCAGCCTATCCCTTGTGTTACACAGACCCTCCTAAAATCAACATACATGATAATAAAACAACATTGAACAATGTTGACAGCTTTAAATATCTGGTCAATACTCTATCTCTAAATATTCAGATCGATGCAGAAATATCTTTATACAGTCCGTGCCGGCTTAAAGCACATTTCGGACTCAAGCATGCTAAACGGCTCTTGCTGAATTTTTGCTATATAAATTACACGCCTTTAATCACGGTAACTTTGGCTTCAAGCACGCTTCATTTAAAAGACAGTCAATATTTTCATGATGACCCATCGAGGTTCGAACTCAGTCTACACCGCAGCAGTGGAGAGTGTCAAGAGAAACACAAAGAATGCAAGTGATGGAGACACACACACACACGGGCGGAGGGGAAGGCAGATGCACACAGCGCGCGCGCGGACATGGGATCTAATCTAGCCTAGGCCTAGGGCAAAGCTACACACGACCCAAAAAATACAAAGAGAGTCGGGGAGACGAGAAAGGGAGGCTGGCTGCGATTTCACCTTTGACCCTCGCTATCCATTAATCCTGATTGTCAGGGTCCCCACAGGGTCGGGAAAAAGTCGGGAATTTTGAGATGGGTCGGGAGAAAGTCGGGAATTTTGTGATCGGTCGGTAAGTCGGGAAAGTATAGGGCCTGTGTAATGTGCAGCTATCTAGACTGTATGGTTGATGAATCCTTAAGAGGAAACGTAATTGAACCGCTGTGACGGAAGTATGTTTGACACCGAGGCTCGATCGGGAAGAATCAAGATCTGCTTTCGTTACCGCCCAGAAATTTTCCGGTAATAGTCTGATAGATAACGCAACATTTGTAACATGCAGGTTGTGCATTATGAACGCTGTGTCGCCTTGAAAATAAATCAATATTAAAAATTGCCCTCTGCTGTCGCTTGTGGGAAAAAAAAAGAAAAAGGAGTTATACAAGCGTCTTGACAGGTTCGCCCTCGTGACCGGTCAATGAACCTGTGAGTACCGGCGGTCTGAACGCTGTAAAGTATAGGACTCCTTTATAAGATACACTCGTGGAAGGGGATTGGGGGGGGGGGGAGAGCTGAAGGCAACGCTAGAGGACAAAAACTGAACTTGGAAGCAAATTTTTAGCATTTTGATTACTACTTTAGAGCTCTCTGCAAAGCGCGCGTTGGTGCAGGCCTTGTGTGGAATCAGGAACCGTCATGCCTTGTTATTGAACTAACGTGTTCGCGTTTCATTGGATGGGGTGATTGTAATTTATATCTATATTTTATTAGCTTTCTGTTCAAGATTAGCAGATTTTCAGTGTCACTTCATCTTGTCCCCCCCCCCCCCCTCCCCTCAGTTCTTACATCTCTCACACTGAATAGGTGTACTTGAGCTATTCTAGTCATTACTCTACTTTGAGTTGCAGCAATGGTTTTCGTCTTCACGTTTATTATATGAATCGTGACACCCAGTTATTGACAGTCGATTTTCTAGTTCTAGGTCTTTTTTCAGGCTCAAAACGGGATTCATTTTTTTTTTTATATAGGGCCTATAGTTTGTTATGTTGGCTAATATGATGATGGGAAAATATAAATAAGTAATAACAGACTGAAATACCAAAGTCTCTCAAGATCTCAGTGCCACATTGACATGTTGTTGACTGGATATAATGTACCTACATGTGTGTGTGTGTGTGTGTGTATTCACAAACATATACATGTATTATATTAGATATAAATGGAGCACACGCTTTCATTGTTATGTAACGTGTTCCTGGAAAATGGATGAGGCCCCAGTCATCTATTGTTTGAAGACTATACTACAAAATGTACATTTGCATTCATTTATAGACATTTTGACTTTTTGTCTTTGATAGGTTGGCTTTTTTGGGTATCATTTTTGCGGCCTGATTTGTCCCTCGAATTGGGGTCTTGAAAAAAATTGAGGGGTCTTGAAAAAATGTTCCAGGATTTGGTGGGGACCCTGGATTGTGTATCACGCGCGAGGTGGGATGAAGACGGTGGTATGAGTGGCACAGCGGGCAGTGGTACGCACAGGTAGTGTGTAGGCCTAGTGTGCTGTATCGTGACTGGCTGTCTAAATTAAGTTTTCATTTCCCATTCGACCACAAAACAAAAACAAACAAGCAAACAAAAACTACCATGGCGGGTGTCTAAATAACAGTGGATACTTTTGCAGGACCGCTATAGGCCTACTTACAATAAATTAAACAATGGGAAATAGCACGGGGAATTTTCAACATGAAAATCTCTGGATTATGTCTACTTCGCACTCAAGCACGCTTCGGCTTTAAGCACGCTTAAGCTTTCTCCCGACGACCGTGCTTAAAGCCGGCATGGACTGTATATGAACCAAGCTACTGCATCCTTTGGGAGACTCTGGGCAAGGGTTTGGACTGCTGTGACATTTGCACAGGGACAAAGTCAAAAGTTTACAATTCTGTGGTCCTCCCAACCCTGCTGTATGGTGCAGTGTACCGAAATCATCTCAAGAAGCTTAATTATTTCTATGAAATGCATCTGGAGAATTCTTGGCATTAAATGGCAAAATAAAATACTGACACAAGTTCTCAAAAGGGCACATGCCGAGAGTGCGTTTTTTTAAGCTCTAAAGGACTCAACTCTGGGCTGGCCATATGGTAAGAATGCCTGACTTCAGAATTCCAAAGACAGTATTCTGTTCTGGACTGACCTCGGAGGGAAGTGAAAGACTGGTGCACCACAAAAATGCAACAAAGAAACCCGGAAAAACATGGGAGGGCCTAGCTCCTGACAGACCCAGCTGAAGAGCAGCCAGTCACAGCAAATTATGAGGCTTCGTGAATAACAAATACTGAAACCAAGAGAGGAGCCCGCAAGCTGCGCACATCCACAAATGGAAGTGAAACTTTGAAATGTTCAAAATGTGGCAAACTTTTCTCTGCCAGAATTGGTCTCATCCACCACAGCAGAAGCCACAAGTCATCTTAATCACTTAATCTTTGATTTTTCTATTTCGGAGGAGAAATATTCTCTTCTGCAGATGTAGATCTAGTTATTGTCAGACATTGACGGACAAGTTATTTCAGTGGAAACCATAGCAGGCCCGGTAATAACAGTATGAACAGGGATTATTTAAATAATGTTTTTTTCCTACTCTTTGTCTCTATTAAAAGTTATCGGCAATAACAGGGCCTCATCGGAGCCCAATCGGTTATAGCAGGAACAAAGGCTCGTTAACAATGTATAAAAAGTAAGAGTAAGAGAGAGAGAGAGAAAGAAAGAGAGCGAGAGTAACGCAGTAATGGACCAAGCCCACGCAAGCCACGCCACTGCAAGCACACGCAGCGGGTGAAGCAAGCGAGGGCTGCGGCGGTGTGCTGCAGACTTCGATCTAGCTCTAAGCCCAGCTACGCGCACGCGCAATGTGTAATGTACCCCTGTTCGTGGGTACTTGTATTGTGGCAAGGGAGACTCCTATGAATAAATTTACAACTGGATTATCCACAAATGCTTGCTTCCTTTGCATTTCTGATATAACAGGACCGTTTCTTTGGTCCCACCATCCCTGTTATAACACGTTTCCACTATAACAGGCCCGGAACTAACAGGGATCCGGTAATAGCAGGGGTTTTTAAAATCCCCCTTTTTTTCCTACTCTTTGTCTCTATTATTACTATTAGAAGTTATCAGCAATAACAGGGCCTTATCGGAGCCCAATCGGTTACAGCTAGGACAAAAGCTCGTTAACAATGTGTAAAAAGTAAGAGAGAAAGAGAAATAAAGAGAGAGTAACGCAGTGATGGAGCAAGTCAAGCCCACACTTGACACGCCACCGCAAGCACACGCAGTGGGTGAAGCGAGAGAGGGCTGCAGTATGCTGTAGACTTCGATCTAGCCCTAAGCCTCGCAACACGCACCCGTAATGTGTCATGCGCAGGCCTGCCAAATGGCCAAAACCCCTGTTCGTGGGTACTTGTGACAAGGGAAACTACCCATGAATAAATACAGCTGGATTAGTCCAGAAATGCTTACTTCTCTTGCATTTCTGATTTACTGGGATCGGATATAACAGGACTTTTTATCTGGTCCCACCATCCCTGTTATATCAGGTTTCCACTGTACATTGTAAGGACATGTCTTGATAACCAGATAATTCTCACCATAACCCCACTCCTACATTTCACGTACATTCACCTCCGCTGTCCGCTGCCCAGGAACGAAATTCATGACTAGCCATGAAGTGGAAAGAGAATGTGATGCTATCCATGTTAGTTCAATAATGCTACACCTTAATCTGCTTAATCTTTCATTCTTTTTTAAAATAATAGTTTAAAATTATTGGGCAGAACACTACGAGTAATGGCTGAGCTAACCCTGAGCTGATGGTCAGCTGCGTGGGGCATCAATGGTCTAGTGATTAGCTGATGGGCTTGTGACTGAAAGGCTAGAACCTCATTGGAGGCTTCGCATTGTGACTTTGTGAAAGGCATTGCTCTTAAACTTTTCACTCAGTTGGGGAAGGGTACTCGGCTATAACAGACAGCAAA